ACCGTAACAGACCCGTTAAAAAATAAGCATTATGGATGGTCCTGAACAGCAAGAAAATGCAAATAAACATCATGCAGACCTTCCACAATTAGAAATCCTGATTTTATTATCAGAGGGGAAGGAACAGTGAAGGAAGCATATGTTGATGATGGTCATATCAGCTGCTTCATTCTAGCGTATTTCACATGTGCCCTTGTGATTTCACTTCATCATCAAATTGTTAATACACCAGGCAAATGTAAAGCTTGGAAATTCTCAACTTAAACCATAATTTAATAAGTGGGCTGAAGTTGAGCATCCTCAGACAGGAGGACCTAGCATCTGATAGGTACAGATTTATTTGCCACTACGGGGAAGAGAGGCATATCTAATTAATTACTGAAGAAAAGCCTGCTCTGAAATAAACAGGGGAAATTGTTTCATAAATCAATTTTAGAGTAACCCTTTAAACAAAAGAACCCACCGTACATTGAGGCAATTATTTGCCTTCTGCAATGAAGGATGAGGTGACTTGGTATTCAAGAGAAAGTGAGAAGAGGGTTGTTCATTGTTCTCCACATTCAGTGTGACAATCCATTATTGGAATAGTTATAAACTTTGAGATTAAAGTAATGTTCTTGGCTATTGCGCAGCTTTACCAATACACAAAGTCTTTCCCAACCACCTTGAACTTATTTCAAGTGGCAAAGGTTGTAGTCAATCCATCCTTCAGTCACTGCTTTAATTCCCCGTTCCACTTTCCTCTTAACATTACTCTGACTTGCTGGATGTGAACAACACACCAGTTCTGGCTCATCTCCACCCAGGGATCCAGAGGGTTATGAGCCGGGAACCGTACCATGTCAGTCTTCTTAACTGGCCAAAATGATATTAGGCCAGTCCTGTGCCATCTGCCTTGGCTGCCAGTCCATGCCCGGCCCTGGCTCAAAGTTCAGGCATTAACATTCAAAACCCTAAATGAGTTGGGACAGGTTACCCTTCCTGTATATACCTGCCTTATGCATCTCACCTACATACCTGGCTAGATCTTGAGATCTTTAGCAGCCCTTCAGAGAACGGAGGTCAGCAGGGAGGGCTACAAGAAAGGGGTCCTTTTCCGCATGCTTTCAGGTGCCAGTGGAAGATCATATTTTCCCAGGAATTTTAGCTTTACACTGCTTTAAATTCTGTATTGTATTTTAAATCCTTGTACTACTGCTGCTAGGTTTTAGTGTTCATTTTTATTTTATACTGTTGTTTAAACTATTTAAATTTTATACTATACTTTATGTTTTAAATGATCTTAAATTGTCATGAAACGCCTCTAGAGCTGTGGCTTGAGTTGAGCTGCAGCTGTCTGTTCTTGCACATTTCCAGCTCCTTGCCTGCTGCTCAGGTTAAAATGGCATTTTGAAGCGATTTGTACTGCAGTCCCAAGAACATTGACACAGGAGTAAGCCTTACTGAATGCAATGAGACTTACTTCTGAGCAGACATGCATGTAATTGCAAGGTCGTGCATCTCTCTTGCTTGGGAAGGCTACTATATGAATTATTGTTCTTGGCAAAATACATCCCTTTCTTTAAATATGCGGTTTAAGTTACATTATCCGCAGAGCTGTGGGAGTCTTCTGTGTGTTACAGACAAGCGATGCTTTAAAAAATGGAAGCTGTTATTTCTCGAAGACCCTTATTATTTCATTCCTGAAGTGGTAAGGTCACCATAGCTTATTGTTGTGAGCCGCCCCGAAGCTTCGGCGAATGGGGCGGCATAGAAGCTTCCTAAATAAATTAAATAAATAAATAAATAAATTAGCGGGGGGGGTCTTTTATTTTTGCACGGCAGCATTTCTTTGAAATGTGCATACCTGTGGTGAGAAACATGGATTTCTTGCAAAGAAATGTGGATCTGCTGGATCCACACCATCACCATCAACAACCTCAGCACAGCAGGGAATCCAGGTGGGCCACGAAGCCCATCTAGCTCAAATCAGGAAAAAGAAGAATTGCTGGAGATACACACACCTCTGTTGTGCTTTTGATGGCTTTAAAGTCCTTCTTCTGAAGAGCTTCAGTGCCAGAAGATTGCATGCATAATGGAATCTCTCCCATAATTACCTACCCAGACAATAAGATTCCCATCTGAGGCTCTCTCAGGTGCCACCATCAAATGAGGCAAGGGCAGTGGCTATACAGAGAGGGCCTTATCAGCACCCCATTTGTGGAAAACAGTTTCCAGAGATGTGAACCTTGTGCCAAACTTTTTTTATTTCTTTGACACCAGCTGAAAACTTTTTAAAATTCTCCCAGGCATTTTAAGAACTCCTTTTAGTACACTGTTCATTGCAGCACTTATCTGGTGGGATGCTGGTCTAAGGATTTTACTTTTATTTTATTTTTGCTGATGGTTTTATCTTGTTTTTAGTCTGTGTTGGTATTATTTTGTGTTTTAATATCTATATGGTATGTTTTTATTGTATTGCACATTGCCCAGAGACATATAGCTAATGGGTGGCTTAAAAGTACAATAAATAAGTGACCATATGTGCGTTTAGCTGATACACTTGCAATGGAATAAAGTCTCTCACGGCACTTAAAGGCAGCAAGCTGGCTTGGCAGGCACTTGAAAGGATGTGGCACACACACTGGTACTGCTTCATATCCTCCAGCATCCACCTCACTCCACCTAAAGATTAAGCCAGCCAAAGGCTTCAAAATCCTTGTCACATTTGCATCAGGCCAATTCCTGTTCCAGCAGCAGCAGCAGCAGCAAACTCACTCCAGAAATAGTTTCCAGCCCACTAAATGAAAAGGGATCTGCTGCCCAGAGAGTCTATATAGGATCGCAGCCCATGGGGTAGTCTGACCTCCATTTTCCACAAACCAGTAAGAGTGCGGGCGGACAGAGACAGCTATTCATTGCAAAAGCTTGGTTCATTTCAGAATCTACTCTGGCTGAAGGTGCTGTAGGGATACAGAAAGCCCTACAAAACAGAGGTTCAGTTTCTTTTATGTGCAACCGTCACAGGAGTCTTTATTTTTTGTTGTTGTTTTAATGTATTTTGCACACCACTCTGTGAATTGATAATGAAAAGTGATGCGCAAATATTTTAAATAAATACATAGCATAAGGTAAAACTTGCCTTCCTCTTTCAGTATTGCCTCATCATTCACATAGCCCAAACTTCACAGGTGCAAGCAGAGGGGAATGTGTAATTGTTGTCCACTCCTTACTTGCTTCTTGAAAGATGCTCTTGTGTCAATTAAAATGTTTTTATCATTTAAACTATGTTTTTATTTAATATGTGAAGCCTTAGTGGATCTGGCTAACAAAGAGAGAATAACTCATAATAGAAAGAGGTCTTTAGATCCCACTGGCAGCAGTTGTGCATGGAATTGTATAAAAATTAAGATATCTAGCTGCAGTTTTTTTGTCCAGTGGTTGTTCATGTTGCCCAAACCTGGCCCATGTGGCTTGTACTTGGTTAACAAACCATGTTTCTGGGTTCAGACAAGCAAACATGGCTCATAACCCAGCATGGCTCATCGTGGTGTCAAAACCAAGTCATTATATACACAGAGCAATGCAACAGTGGAACCAGCTGCCTGGAGAGGTGGTGGGTCTCCCACACTAGAGGTATTCAGAAAGAAACTGGACGGCCATCTGAGTGGGATGGTGTAATGTGGTGTCCTGTAACTGCAGGGGGTTGGACTCGATGGCCTTCATGGCCCCTTCCAACCCTACTGTTCTATGATTCTATGGTTCATTCTCTGACCACTTACTAAAACACTTCCCAAGGAACTTGAAAAGTGGGCACTGTGTGCCTTGCAGCCTCACCCTGCATCCTTTAGCCGCACCCATTAAAAGCATAACTTCCCCCTAGAATAATCTTTCTTTTAACAACTAAACCACAAGATGAGGCATCATATTTTGTGATGGGTCCAAATTAGAGAAACAGGTGCTCAAACCACTGAGAAAATGTGCAGAAGACTGTCTTAAGGAATTCAGCACATCACTCAGATTGTTTAACTTACCACGTTTTGTAACATTATTGCAGAAATAGTGATTTTTGAGAGCTAGAAAGCCTTCAAATTTGCTATCATGAGCTCTGCAGCCAGACTCTGAAATTTCAGTCTTTTCCAAATGCATAGGGAAGAGCTTCAAAGGGACCTCTGGCCCTTAAAAGATAAGAAGAAACCTAACAATAAGAACAGAATAAGAAAATCATCCCGAGAGGAACCTGGCGGTAATTTTTCTCTTGGATCGCCAGTGTTACCATTTTGATTCGAGGTGGCTCAGCTGGCTTCACATCCATAAATCAGTAAAGCACCTGATTCAGGTTGGATCTTACTCTGAAGAGTGTAACATTCTTCGCAGCCACAGCGTCATGCCCCTCCTGTAAATTCATTCCTCCTCTGCTACAGCTGGCGCTTCCAAATTGAATGCGCCTGCACAGTGAAGGACGCATGAAGCCGCTGTGCTTTTCTGCAGGAGACCACGCATTGTAATGCACGTCCTCAGTTCTCTGCAGGACTACGCGGACCGCAAATCTGTCAGGGCACATTTCGTAGGCAAACGGTGTGCCTTGCAGCTCTCCACTGCACTGAGCCATCCGCTACACAGCGCAGTGTGATGTATCGCTGCGTGTCAAATTAGCCTAGCATTTCTTTCCACCAGCACCCCGTTTATATCTTGGAATATAAAACCCAACACCAAATATTTTCAAGAGCAGCAGTCTGCTGCATGTTATGTTTTCCACTGCTGTAATGCCTGGCACACCTCCGTACTCCAAGTACGAGCATTTGTCTCATATTATCCCAGAACACACGCAGCAGTCCATGTCCCCACCAACCCCTCTGAGTCTGGCCACAGGCTGTGTCTTTTCCCTTGCCTTCTAGCGGCCAGAAAGATGGGATTAAGGCAAAACGAGACAGACCGAGCCATTCTAAGCATTGTTTGTGCTGCAGGGATCAAAATGCTGTTCTCAGCTCTTTGCCAGCTATTTAAGAATAGGCTTTATCTATTGCCATTTCTAGCTCTTTAGGGTTTATTTATCTGTTTGTGGAACAATGCTTGTACTTATCTAAGTATTTGTTTACATAAATGAATACATATTCCAATATGGAGATTTCTGAATGATGTACAGTAAAGATAAAACAAGGAAAACACAGAAAACAATCTATTAAAAACCTAATCAATAAAGCCATAGGTCATTCATTCAGGAAATAGAAGTGTTTTCAGAAGGAACCCAAAGAAGTACAACTTTAGCACCTTCCAGAGCTCCAGAGACAGTTCCAGAGAAATTGAGCTGCTACACTGAGGGATTTCCTCCAAGTGGATTCCAGGTGGGTCACAGGCAAAGAATATTCTATCACACCAACCAGGTGGATAAGGGAGAAGGTGCTCTCCAAGATATCCAGGTCCCCACTGCCTTCTGCACTAGCACTTGCCCTACAGAGGGTGCACTGCAGTCTTGAGGTATTGCTGTGGTCAAGCTCTCACGGGAAAGGCCATTGCTGGTGAAGATGGTAAAACACACTCCAAGCTGCTGGGGTTGCTCGGGACTCCTGCAGCCATGATGAATCTCAGTGTGCCCCCAGACTACGAATCCAATCTTTCATGGGGCATGCAGAAGAGGTCATGAGTCTATCTTCCTGTCTTGGGAAGCCCTTGCCCGCAGTGCTTCCACTTTTCCAGGATCTGGCTTCAGTTTATTGGCCCTCATCCAGCCCATCACTGAGTCTTGACACTGATCTTTACCTGATTCAGATGTCAAACTGAAATTGACCCCACGGATAGGACCAGGACCACTGTAACACAGTGCCTCCAATGGCCAAACCCAGGGGGTCACTCTAGAAGAATAACATGTTTGATGCATCAAAAGCCAATGAGAAATCAAGCAGGGTTAATAGGGTCAGGCTCAATAAAGGCTACCCATAGTGGATGGAAAACACAAGGTCTAATTAATATCCTCCAAGAATGTCACATAGTGTGGAGAAAGCTGTTTTTTTCTGCCTTTCCCCAAATAATAGAGTCCAGTGTCATCCTATGAAGCTGGATGGTGGGAGATAAAGAATGGATAAAAGAAAGTACTTCTTCACATGGTGCGTAGTTCAGCTGTGGCATCTACGTCTCCAAGACATAGATGATGAAGCAAGCAGCTTCCATCGTTCACGATCTCAGGTGATTTTCAAGACAACTTGAAAATATGAGGTAACCAATTAGGGACAGGATGTAAGAGGTAACAAAGTGCGTTTACCGAGGAATGTGCTAATTCTCTGGGGTCCTCCACCCCAAAAAGCTGCCTTGAAGAAGTTAGCAAAATGCCACTTTGTACATCAGCATGTTAGTATTAGGCATAGATAATCATTAAATGCATATAATCTTTGCTGTCTTTGTTGCAAGACTAAGAGCTCTCTGGCTTGCCAGGCTGTCTCTCCTATGTGTGTCATCCGTTCTGAATAAACCTTACGTGCCTTTTTTATATTTCCAGGTTCAGTTTCATCTTTATCCAAAACCACATCCACCAAGCAGGGCATCTTATTCCTTTCTACCATTTTTAAAACTCAACACTCTGAAGATTTATGCTTTTGTTATATGGACATTCTGCCCTGTATCCTTCAAGGTATTCAAACAACTTACATAATCTTCCTTTTTTCCATTATATCCTCACAACAACAACGTGAGGTAGATTAGGCCAAGAACCAGAGACTGGACCAAAGCCACTCAAGCTTTGTCAAAGCATTATGGTCACATGTGAATCAGAACCTGCATCTCCTGAGTCCTAGTCCAACACTTTAACTGCTATGCCGCTCTGGCTATACGCTTGTTCTCATATTAACACGGGTGTCACATGCTTCCACAGCCTTCCTGATTTTTAATTTCGTGAGCGTTTTTGTGTGCACAGGCACAAGTGGGGAGAAATGTATAGATTTTCTCTGGCATAGTTCCAACTGAAGAAGTACAAAAGGTGATGGTGCTCAACTAATGACTGCTGGTTGTGCCAGCACTTGCACAACCACGAGTGAAGCAGCTAGCGCAAATGCGTAGCATGCTGGCAAGCAGTGTGGTGCGCAGAGGCCGCCGTGTGCTCCCAGACACCTTTCTTGCGAGTACCAAAAGGCCTTACACCTCACTTCTAAGAAGCAGAAAATTTTGAAAACGATGGGTTCAAAGGAGCTGTTCAAAATGCTGGAGCTTAGCTCCCCCCTCTGCCTTGTCTTAGTTGTCTCTGCCATGCTCCCCTGGCAGCCATTTTTTGGTGGTGCTCAGTACCGATTCTCAACCTGCCAAATGTGCCCCTTGTCCAAAAGGCCTTCTAGCACTGAACTAGTGTGATGAAGGTGCAATGAGCTACAGAATCACACGTGCAATGGCTTGCACAAGCATGTAATCCTGCAGTGCTTTAGTGGTTGTGATACTTCTGCAAAGATAAAAACGGGGCTTTCCCAAACAGTCAAAGACTTCTGCTAGCAGAATGATGCCCTAGACACAGCTCCATATATCAAAGCAGTATCTAGTTCCCTAAGCCGAATTCTTCTATGCCACCTTACTTTTCAGTAGATCTCACCACAAAACATGGAGTTGCCATGTGTGAGCAGAGAGACCTGCAATGTGTTAGTTCCAACAACCGGTTAATACCATGGTATGCTGTTCTCAATAACTGGCCTTCAGGCCCTTTAAATACAAAGGGGAGGTAGGTAGGTAGGTAGATACAGATGTCTAAGGATTGAGAAATTCACAACAGGAACCTGTTAATCCCCCCATGGTGATGTACATAGACTGCTTGGAGCATTGCTCAATTATGTGGGTTGGAGAAAGCAAGAAGTCCAGGTAGCTTAGATCTGGACTGCAATCCAGACACTAGCACACCCGTCCCATAGGAGCTTGATGGTTAACTTCCCCTGGTCATCCTGAGGGGTGGGAGGGAAGAGTCAGGACCTGCCAGCTCCCAGTGGAGTTGCAATTAAGAAAATGGAGCGGGCTGCTCAGGCAGACCATACTGACACCGTCTTACTGAGGTCCAAGATACAGAAAACTCCCATTTTCGATCAGCTGGGTCTCTGCCAGGCCATATGAATGCTGGCACTGCAATTCAGATGCCCTGGCTAAGGTCATCTCAAAGTCAAGCATCTCCATTTAGCAAATGTACCGAATAACAAATTGTCCAGATGCTGAAATAACAAGGAATCTCCTAAAATCTATCTCAGAAGTTGGGGATGAGCCATGATCAGGCAGTCAGCAGACACAAAAACAAGAGATGCTCCTTGAAACGCCACCTAGACAAGGAAACTGAAGGGGTTGTACTCCCCTGGGAAAGGAGGCTGGAGGTCTTTCTCTTGCAGCATGTCTTCCAGGAAGTGTGGGAGCTTGAGCGAGGCATGAGAGGAGACTGAACCAAGCTTTCTCTGGCACAAGCACTGGGGCCTTGTTTTTCCCACACAAAGAGGGGAGGATCTGACACAGGCACCAGATCTCTTCCACAGACACGAGGGTCTTCAAAAACCCAGCTAGGCACTTTGTCCAGGGCTGTGCTTTGTAGACTGTATTTTTCCCTTTTTGTTTGCCTTTCGCCACTTTGATTGCTTATTGTTGTGCATTCAGACTCTGACCAGCCTTTTTTCCATTCTGAGCTTTTTCCTAAATCTTTCATACATCTTCGACTCTGTTTTCACCAAACCCAGACTGTGTGCTTTGTGGGAGAAAGCAGGTCTTTCACAAAGGAATAGGCCATGCTATTTTAATTACCAGGTTGTCCGCAAAACCTGGTGCTGAGCAAAAGCTAACCATAGCCCTTCTCTTCTAAGGTCACAAGTGGGCTGCAGTGAAGCTGAACCTGAGGGACTCCAGTGGCATCCTTGGCTATTCATTCCCAAGGGACTGAGAATTCTTGGGAATTGGGGGGGGACTGGGCTTGTTTTACACTCAGTGGTGGCAGCTGGACCCCGTTTTGGCACTGCTGCACCAGATCTGGCACCCAGAGCCAGCACCTGTGGGTGTCAGGTCACTAAAACAGGTTATAATCATAATAGGGAAACCTAAGCAGAACTTTGGCCAACACTAGCAGTGAATGCTGAAGAGTCAATGTGGTGTAGCGGTTAGAGTGTTGAACAGGGACTCTGAGATCCAGGTCCTCATGAGATTCACTTGATGACTTTGGACTATCCACTGGCTCTCAGCCTCACTCACAAAAAAAGGCTCTGGTGAGGATAATATGGAGAGAAGGAAGGTCATATATGCCAGTGGGGTACGACCTCCAGTCTGCAGGCCAAACCTTGCCCTCCAGGTTTCTGCATTCTAACAGGTAGCCACTGGCAGTAAGAAATTTGGGCTAAAATATGGAGGGGCGGTCCTACTTTTGACTCCATCCCATTTGCTCTCAGCCCCATCTGACACTAGTATGCAACCCCAAGAGCTCCAGAATTGAATTCAGAAGCTCCTTGCTCAGGACATATAACATCTTGGCCTCCTCAGAGAAAAATGGGATACAAACAAACAAACGTTGGCTACCCTCACTTGCCAATGTTCTATCATTTCTTCCTTATATGCACACGTTTCTTCTCTGTGGACCTGAATATGTCCCCTTTTAAGCATCAAATGACATTGACCTCCCCTAGCCCTCAGAAATAACCTGACTCGGCTCAGCTCTACATGCTATGCGCCCGATTTCAGAGGACAGAATGTTAGTCATAAGAATGGCCCTACTTTATTGACACAATGCAAATAATAATTGGCAGCGGAGCAGGTGGCTTGGTCTGACAGGGCAGGTGGGCTGGAGGTTTACAGGAGACCGTAAATCTCCCGCAGAGAGAGAGAGAGAGAGAGAGATAGAGAGAGAGAGATAGAGAGAGAGAGATAGAGAGAGAGAGAGAGAGAGAGAGAGCGAGCGAGCGAGCGCAGCAGCAGCAGCATGGAGGAATTTACGACCAGGCCACTGCACCTTTATTTTGCAATGCTTGGTTTGCGCCCTGTTCTATGAGCTAATTTCTTTTCAACCAGATCGCTCGCTCCGTTCAAGTCTTTTAGAAGTCTGCCCCCCTTTCAAAAGCTCCAGCAGGGAGCAACCAAATTCTGTCAAGATCAGGTGAGATGAATCCGGGAAGATGGAAAATGCTTTTTTGTTCTGCTCCGTTACCTTTTACTGAAGGATCACTGCAGAGACGTGAATCATCATCCTCTGTGCTGCTCGTCATTTCTTGAGGGTGTTTTCACAGATTCCTCCTCAACCCCCTCTGCTTCCTTTGTCTCCCCATGTCAGATCCTGTGTGCTTCTCTTGGTCATTCTGACATTAAAAGGCTCAGCAGCAGCTGCAGGCTGGGTGGGTCAGCTTGGGGATGGGAGGCAGAAAGCAATATCAGCGACAGCTACATGGCAAGGAAATCAACTGATGCCCCGTAATGAGAACTATTGATTACGAGTAGGTAGCAGAAGCTGAGAAAGCGGGGTGACATGGGAAGCTGCGGCTTGCTTCGCACACGGCTACTTTAAAAGCAGAGAGAGAGAGAGAGAGAGAGAGAGAGAGAGAGAAGCACATTTACTTTTCATAAAAGGGAAAATGAAAATCCACTAATTAAACAGCAAAACCATTTACAGAGAGGGCCCATGGCTGCAATCATAGACTCCAGAGCAACGAGGGACATATCCATCTATTTCTGTTCCATTTCGGTTTTCCATGTAGGCAAGCGTAAGTCGAATATCCAAATCAGTCTGCAAATGAAACACAGATGTATTTGCATTTACTTCCCATGCCTAACTCCCCCCCCCCACACACACACACATTCCATGCACAGTTGCCTAACAGAATCACATTGCAAAATCCAGGGATGTGAGTGCTCTAATGTGGGCATATTAAGTGGGCAGTGGGAATATGGTTGGATTGCGCAGAAATACGCATAGAATAAAATACTCCCCCATCCTTCTTGGGCATCACTGAGCAGTATATGCACCTAAAGTATTGAATACGGTGAATTCATATTTGTCTGCTGAAATACAAGTCCACTTACTCTTTAGTAGGTGTGTATAGAATTGCAGCCTAAGACTGGTTTTATTATCAGGGGTTTTACTGCAATATGCTGCTGCTGTTTTTAGTATAGCTTTTTTTAAACAAATCATTTTATTTAGTTATTTAACTTCTGTACCTCCCAACAGCCAAAGCTTTCCAGGCAGTTTAGAACAATCCGTTAAAACACAGTCTAAAATATATCACAATATAAAAACATTAGAAAAAAATACCATGCAAACAGATAAATAAATCTTAATTTAAAACACCATGTTTAAAATAGCATTTACAATACGAAATTGCAATAACATAAGCAAGATAAAACCTTACTGATTCTGGATTTAAAAATGAACAATGCCCTAACTTTGTAGAGGAAATACTTGATCTGGAGCCGGAAAGATAGTAAGGTTGGCACCAGGTGGACCTCTGAGGGGAGTTCCTTCCACAGTGAGGGGCCACCACTGGAAAAGCCTTCTCCTGGCTGCCACCAACCAAGCCTCCCTTGGAGGTGGCAGCCAGAGCCAGGCTCCAGAGGGAGAGGCATTCTGTCAGGTATCACAGTCCCAAGCCATGTGGGGCTTTATAGGTTCAAACCACCACCTTGAATCGGAAATTGGTGTTATATGGCCAGACCATTCGGTCCCTGTTATTAGTCTGGCTGCTGCGTGTTGTACCAGCTGCGGCTTCTGAACAGTCTTCAAGGGCAGCCCCGTGTACAGTGCACTGCGGTAATCTAGCTTAAAGATTACCAGAGCATAGGTTACACAGAGGAGGCTCTCTCTCTCCAGATTGGAGCACAGCTGGGCCAACAGACAAAGCTGGCAGGAGCCACTCTGAGCCACTGAAGCCAGCTGGGCCTCAAGAGAAGAGATGGCTCAAGGAGCACCCCTGGCAAAACACCTGCCCCTTTCGATTTTCTTAGCTGCCCTGAGATACTGATGAATTAACAGCAGGACAGACTATACAACACAAAGAATACTATAAATAAATGGAAGCCTTTCAATTCAGGAAAATGGTAGCAGGTAGGTCCTCTCCCAGCAGCCTTGAATTGAGGTGGACATATTCCCATCTCTGGTGAATGGTGGTTGGATACATCTGTATTATATTTTACTGTTTGTATGCTCCATTGTGGGGTCCCAAAAGGCAATTTAGAAATATGTTAAATAAACCAATATAGTAAATATTAAGCCATATCCAACATCTGGCAGGACAACAGGACTTTTTCCCTCCCTCACCTGCCTGCCCACCTCTTCAGACCTCCCCACAGCCTGCAAATCTGTCCAGAGGCTTTTCCAGCCCTCTGGAGCTGATTCTGAGAGCATGGAGGAGGTGCAAGGGAGACGGAGAATTGTCCTTTCCCCACTCCAACTTTTCAGACAGAACTGCTTCCATTCGTGGAATGACGCCCCTGGATACAATCTGGCAACATACCTTTCTTGTAGCTTGAGCAGCATGAAGATGCAGGTGCTGATTTGCTGGGGAGGGAGCCACCTGGCTCAGCAACAAACCCTCCTTCGCGGTGTCTTTCTCTAATAAGCCAACTTGCAGAGAGCTGCGTGAGGTGTAAGAAAGGCCTTGGGCACGGCCTGTGGTTGTTTTGCTGTTCTCGTTCCACTTTTTCTTTAAGCAGAGCCCCCCTCCCCATATCACACCCCACTCTGGATAGTTTCAGAGTGACCTCTTGGTAGCAGGGGAAGAAACAGTCCTCTGCTGCACAGGACAACACAACAGGTCATGTGGGAGCACAACACTAGAGAAGTTTGGGATCCCAGATGGCTTGCTATCAGCTTCCCTATTAAACTGAGGCATCACAGGCCAAAGCACTCTAGGTTGGCACAAGTAGCTTGCAAGAACAACCTCAAGGCCTGGAGAGCTTTGTAAAGAGAACAGCTTCTTGATGAGCTCCACTTGCCGAGCCAGGCGCCAGAGCCACTCCACAAGCCTACCTGGTCCTACAGCCAAGATGCCTCCAAGAAGAAGCATACTCATTAGACAGGGCTGAGGAAACACCTTGAACCAGAGGGCTGAATTCTATTTCAAAGAAACTATCAAGGACTGCATTCCAGCGATGCAAAAGGCCCACGCAAAGGAGGCAGGGCCCAAGAGAAAGGACAAAGGGCCAAAGGGTGTGGGGAGCAGCATATTTTACTAAAAGCTCTGCAAATCAATATGTGATGAGCTGCCTCCCTTAGCCTGAGCCTATACAAACTCTGTGAGCAACATCTGAGGACCGTGTCCGAGCACCTCTGCTGAGGGAGGCCTAGAGGATCACAACAAGGAAGAGGGCCTTCCTGGGAGCTGCCCCATTACCGCTGTGCACTGATCGCCTGCTGGCACCCGCTGTCTCATCCTTCAGCACCAGGTTGAGAGAGCCCTCTGTGTCAAGGCAGTCAAAGACACGCAAAGATATTTAATATCTCATCCAGACTGAAATGTCACAATGGATTAGTTGTGCGGGGTTGTGCGAACTGACTCCAGACACGTGCAGAAAGAAAGGGCTAACCCCCACCCTGCAGAGTCTGGCAGGGCAGGGCAAGGTGATGGAAGGAGCTCCCCTGGTGCAGTGGGACATCTGCTCCACCAGGAACGGCTGGCTCCAGCATCCCCTCTTGGAAATGGATGTTTCTGCCAGAGAGGAGACACTCGTTTTCCCTTGGGGAATTTGAGGCTGGTGATCTCCATCTTCTCCCTGACTGGAAAAGACACTCCGATGAGGGCTGGGGAACACCTGCACCCAGCCGTCCCCTTCCAGTGTCCCAAGGTAAGCCGTGAAAACGGTGGGGCAAGGAGCAGAAGAGGCTGGATGGGGCCCACTGAGGGTGGGCAGCTATGACTTACCCAAAAAGAGGAAATGCATCTCTCCAAAAGAGGGCAAAACACAACCGCAGTGGGCACACATTTTGCAAATGTTCTGTGAAGCTGCAAATTTAAAAACAGTTAGAATCTAAATAGAAATACAGCGACTCTCACCATGGTACAGGAGACTGTGACCAGGTGACCTGTGTGCCATGCCCAGCCTGGCTGTTGATGAACAACTGCTTTTGCGATAGAACAGCCCTTCACAGAGAGGGCAACTTGAAAGAGGATAGACCTCTGTTCAAGTAGAAGACTCTCCTTTGTTAAAGAGGGTGCATGGCCATCCTGTGACTGAGATGAGGCAAGCAACATCTCCAGTCATGAGCCATTCTGTCATAAAAATAAAAGGCAGAGACCTCAGAGTAGGCTTTAGAAGAGCCAGGTTGATCAGGGTCATTCAGTGTTTGGTTAGGGCCATAACTGAGTGGTTAAGAGCCTGGGACTGGGACTCAGGTGATCTGGGTTCTAGTCCCCCCTCAGCCGTGGAAGCAATTGAGTGACTGGACCAGTCACAGACTCTCTGCCCAATCTTTCTCACAGGATTGTTGTTGTGGGATTAAGATTGGGAGCAGGAAAAAGAGAAAGATGAAAGCCACTTTGAGTTATTTGTAAGAAAAGGGTGGGATATAAATTTAATAGATAAATAACTGGATGCTACTTCTTCAAGCCATCTTGAGGAAGGGCACAGAAAACAAAGGAAATATCCTGGCAACACAGAAGCCTTGCTGCTTCTGAATCTAGGAGATAGGCTCCTGGCCTGTTCTGGATGGGGTTGCACTTCCTCTGAAAGATCAGTTTCATAGAGAGGGTCCCACCTAGATGCGTCCTTTTCTCTGCAGCCCCAAGTGATTGTGGCAGCTTATGGCTGATTGGAGCTCACCAGGAGAAGCACATTTGGTGTAATGCCTTCACTTCTGTGGAACTCCCTGCCTCTGGAGGCAGGTGCCAACAGTATCTCCTGAATATGTCTTCCATTCAGGAACCCTTCAATAAAAAAACCTCTGCTGTTTTTACTGATATTTCATTTTAACACGTTATTGTATTACTTTCATCTACTTTTTATCTTTTTATTGCTTATCACTCTGGAATCAGTTTAGCGTGGAACAGTAAATAATTGTTGTCAATAAATACATGTGTAAATAAATGTTCATGCACAAGTCACAGGAAGCTCCAAGCAATCTCAAATATGGCTTTAAGAAACATGGAATGCTACAATTCTGAATCTATGCAAACGAGAGGCTGGCATGTACAGGAAAGCTTTCCAGAGATGCATGTCTGTGTTGATTTTTTTTCTTCCCGTGGAGCTAGCCTACCTACCCCTGGCCTTCAGTATGTTTTTGACAGATGTTCTTCCCACCAAACCCAACCCTGACTGAGTTATCTGTCTTAGGCCTCTCCCAGTAATTGAGACAGGCTGTCTACCTTCTTTTAATTATTTTTTAAAGCGCCAATTGTGAGTTTATCCAATTTAACGTTAGTGCCAATTACACATTTATCCAGTTTAATGTTTGGCACCTTTTAAAACAAATGCCCACATGCTCACTTAAGAAAAGTTGGGAAATTGCTCCAGGTGAGGATGGTGATTCATGATATCAGGAAAAACCCTGCAGATCTGCACGGAGAACAGGCGGCTCCTACCCCAGTGGGCAGAACCTGTCTTTCCAAAGCTCAATTCCAGGCAGAAGATGGTACATATTAGCAAAATGCAGCAAGTGTGTTGTTGCTTCCACATCCACAGCGGTTCCCCTGCTCAAATGGCACATGGTTGGGTGCACCCGTAAATGCTAATTTTAGACCATTTTCAAATTTTCTTATAACAGCAGGAAAATCACAGGATGGAAGCTTGAACATATGGCATATGTGTGTCCTCTCCTGATCTCCAGAACCCCTTCGTAAATGAGATCTTGCATGATGCAGCGTTTCGTTTTCCCCGTGGAAAAGCTACTTAAATGAATAAACTACATTTAAACTACTCCTGAGGAAGAACCAATTTAAGAAGAGTCATTCAGGAATTCACTGCAAATGAATTGTTGTCTCTCCGAAGGCTCTTGAGTGCAGTGGGGCATCAAGCTTGGGGATGACATTAAAACTGACTTTGAAGGATTCAGATGCCTGTTCATTACAAGCAGTCTGAATCTGGCCATGCTAGGAGAGGGAGAAGAAGGTTTGTGTGCTGCAAGGTTGAGTAGTCATAAAAGCGAGGCCTGGAGATCCTGAATGTGAAATTCTCAGTATCATTTCCAACTTGTTTCTGTGATTCTTCCAAGAAAGCTGTGGGCAAAGCAACCTGGCTCTCTCCAGACGCTTTGGACTACAACTCCTATAAGTCCCAGCCCACATAGCCAATGCTTGTGGGTTTGGGGAGCTGCAGGCCCAAACATTTGGAGGTCAGCTGCCTTTGGCTTAGCCTCATCTAGAATTTGTTCTATAAAGGAACTGAATGGAAGGAAGCAGCAAGGTGCATCCATTTAAGGGAAAGGTGCAGCATTTAACGGACTCCTGTTCTCCACAGTCCCTACCCACACTTTGCTAAACGGGATTAATATCCAGTGTGGGGTAGTGGCTAGAGGGTTTGCCCAGAACCAGGAATGCCCCGGTTCAAATCTCCACTCGGTATACAGCTCACAGTGTGATCCCACAGCCAATACTATCCCAGAGTTCTGTTACAAAGCTAAAATAAACAGAGCAAAAGCCAAACCTTGAGCTTAGTCAAAGAAAGGTGGGCTAAAAATGCAATAGAACTGTATTGAATCTTAATTTACCAAAGAGTTGCTTCACTCCCCCTGCCTTTCCATGCGTGTGTGCAGACATCCAGAATGCAGGCTCGGAATCCGGACGCTACTCGGCCTCAGAAAAACAACAGCTTGCCTTCCCGCAACATGGGAAGAAGGCTCTTGGTTATCCCCCACACTTCTGCAGCCATTCGACTGACCTTTCTTGTCTCCTTAATGTCATCATACAAATCAGTGAACTGAAGAATAAAGTTCAGCCAAATCCAAATCGGTGCAGGCTGGCAGCACCGCTGCACACGCACTTCCTTCAATTTGGCTTTTTTCTCCTCTTCCTGCTGAGCATGACGAATGACTTCAACAGCTTGCGGAAGTTTACCGTTGCAAAACATTTCGCTCGGATGTGCCTCGAAATTCAAATGAGTCACATTTTCCAACAGGCAGCCCAGCTTGTGCTCCTCTGCAATTATAAAACCGTGCCTGCCCTCGACATTCCGAGAGGAGACTGGAGCTGCTTCTCACACAGGTTGCTTTCCTACCAAAGGAGAAAAAAGAGGAAACCCTTTCAAAACCTGCTTCTCTCTCATGCCAGCTTCTCCTGCAGCAATGATAGTAGATAGGAGAATGGGTGTGTGTAGCCTAGCTGATCTAAAAGACTTACATTTTAAAAAGAAACAGAAATTTAGAATTCATACAGAAAATTTCAGTAATGCACAAGCCTGCTTATCTTCCCTGTTGCACATTTATTTTTATTATTTATTATTAAAACATTTTTAATAAATGTTTTTTATGATAGGTAGTTGGTTTTCCTGTCCTTCCATTTGGTTCTAGCTTATACCCATTTCTGCATCCATACAGACATGGATTGGCTTAGTGGTTTATTGTATGTTTCTTTTTCTTGAAAAAGAAACTGGCAGCCATCTACTGTAACATGGTGTCCTGCAACAGCAGGGGGTTGGACTCGATGGCCTTCATGGCCCCTTTCACCCCTACTCTTCTATGATAATCCCTCCAATAGCAAGCATTTTCTGGGTATAATAGTTCAATGAGTAAAGTACAATGCAAAACAACTGCCAGTACAGCACTAGATAAACTTAATGATATATAAGAACACTACAGTCATAAAAATCTAAACACTATTTAATCTAAACACTACACAGCTGAGAAGGCCTTCTCCGGTAGCTTCCAGGCTTGCTTTCTTCACCAGCCACCCCATGGAAAGCCTCCCTTTAGGGTCTGAGCACATACATACAGGAAGAAATGTTCCTCTGGATTCTCTGGTCTAAAGGATATAAACTGGCTGTACAGAAAAGCAGAGAGAGGAGTCATACCAGTCCATATTACTGTTCTTTCTTTCTTATTGTGACGGTAACTAGAATTGTTCTTAATAGTGTACTTCACATATGATTTCTGTTGTCACTGTATCTGAAATTTCACCCACTGTACAATCTGTAAAAGAGCTGATTGTGGGTTGTCTGATAAAGCAGAATAGGTGGGCACGTGGGAAACCACATAATCCCTCATGGACAACAACCCATTTTTAAAAATGTTTAACACTGATTCATGGGTTGTTTGTGGATTGTTTTGCCAGGCTACAGAGACAATGCACAAAATGGGTCAAAACCCCAAGCCTTTTTACATGCCATCACTGCAGTGCCACAAAGGCAGTTGGAATACAAAGAGGAAGAGAGCAAAGGAAAATGGAGACACAAAACCCATGGACTAAGAAAGCAAACTGTGGCAGGGTCACCCCCACTTTGGATGCACACCTTAACCTGGTGAGGGGGCTTGAGAGTGTCAAAGAAGCTGAGAGCAATGCCACCAGGAGGCCAGACTGTCTCACTGGGCTGGCGCCCGAACAAGGTCACCCAAGACAGGAGTGCTAAAGCAGAGTCTCCAGACTAAGACGCATCCCCCACACACACACCACTTCCAGGAGTGATGCTCACATCGACAGAGAGAATGGGTGTCTCTGAGAATGAAGGGGGCAGAGACACTCTGGAAGGGCAGATACTGGGCAGCAGCAGTAGTTGAAGGCAACACTGGCAGGGGACCTTTTACAAGCAATGGTGGGAGCATCAGGCTAACTCGGGTGAGTAGTGCACAGAAGGCAGTAATGGCAAACCACTTCTGGATCTTCTTACCTTGAAAACCCTGTGAGGGAACAATCCGAGTAAGCCATGGGTTGGCACTCTGTGCAAAGCAGTCACTGAGTCACGTAGGGAACACACATCCTTTGAGACAGAGGTCCATTTATTAAGGAAAAGCAAATATAGCTGAGTCAATTATAGAAAGCAAATGGTGCCATGGTCCATGTTAACCAAGTTTAGAACAGGAAAAGAAAACTAGACAAGCATACTACACACACGTACAGCACAGATTTCTGCTAGGTGTGTGTGACCCCGACTGGTATCTTCCCTTTACTTTTATTGTTTTCTGCTTGAACATGCCATGTGAGCAATACTTTGATAGACTACAGTATTCTTTTAATCCCGCTGCTTCATATTTATTCTTGTCTCCAATTTTACATCATGTGTTTATCACTTTTGTTTAGTGGCTGTTCTTCATTGAAAAAACCCCTCAATTTCCACACCAGAAGAATTGCATTCTGTCAATGCCAATGTTCTCCAGTCTTGACTGGAAAATGACATACCCCTCTAAAAAATTAGCTACTGTATTCTCCCAGATTCTATTTTCTGTGATATTTGGTCCTTAGGGTCCCTAGCTTCTCTTTTTAATTAGCTGAGTTTATTTGTGACTTACAGCTTTTCATTGACAAAGGCCCTGATTTTGGTTAAGCCAAACTTTGTTAAACATACATATCTTGTTCTCTCACACCTGCATGGATCATACTGCCTGTTCCTGTTCAATGACCAGAAGCAGTGTATACACATTGACAAAAAGTAGGAAATGAATCTCCAAACAAGAGGTCAGACAAAGACACCAATCTGCTGAACATTTGCATATGCAAATATATATGGGCAAGTGCAAAGTTAATAAATAGAACTATAATATAAGCAGAAGTACCATTCCTCTTGTAACAATGACGAAGATTGTGAGCAAGTGACCTGCTTGGTGTCCAAACCTGATAGGCAGCTGCAAAGCCCCTGTTGCACTCTCTCCTTACGGCTCTTGAACTTCAAACCAGACTTGGGCTTAATAGCCCATCGAACAGAGGATGCCTCCTCTGAAAGCTCTTCAAATCCTGAACTGTCCTGACCAGCATTCAATCACATATATGTGTATGCTTATGGCTGGTCCCAATGGGGTGCAATGGATGAGCCACCAACCAATGGGTTCCAGGCTGAACTTCCTTTTAAAGGATTTGGCTGGCTTCTCCCATCAAAAGCCCCCTCTCTGCCATAGACACTGGAGAGCGTCTGCCCATCAGAGTAAAATTTACTGGGCTGAATGGGGAAGTAGTTTGACACAGTGGTCCTGGGTCCATAACTTTCTTGCATTGAGAAGTAAAAGACACTATTGTCCTTCCGTTGGATGTGTTGGTCAGGTTTCATGCTAGCAGAGTGGGAGGCAAGGAATGTAAATATTTGTTTTAAAAATCAGACCACCCCCACCCTTTCAAGGCTACATGCCCATTCTAAGGGACTTCAGGTCTCACTGAGCCCTGTGTACTCAAATGCATGTTTCATTTCACAGAGAAGCATTTTAGTGGCTCTACAGCACCTGATCATGTCTTCACTGACAGCCAAAATATTCTCAGGACAGCACAAAAACTCCAAAACAAAGCACAGCATCCCTACAGCATCTTCATCAATGATAAAGACAAGAGTATGTGCCTCCTTTCTTTTTATGTTAGGGTTCAGGTCATGGGAGTATCAATTCTATTTTAACACACTTTAGCTGTAGAAACAGCTTGTTTGCCTACTCAGGAGAAATATGTTAACTCTTCCCTCCTCCCTTGAACCCAGGGGCAATTTAAGTACTTTGATCACCAAATGTAGCCAATTATTATTGGTGTAGCACTTGTTTTCTGGTTGCTACTATCCCTTTTAGATATTGCTTTCCTTGTACTACCACACAACATGCATATAGTAGAAATAGTGAGAAAGACTTTCCTTTGCCATCGCAGAGCAGTACTAGATTGGAGCTCTGAGGCAAGCTGCAAGTGGGGCTAGACCCAGCTGCAGGATGAGGATCAGGGTGCTAGGAAAAAAATAAGGAGTGTGGGGAGATCAGGGGCTAAAATCAGATGCAGGAGGAACAGAAACGGATGTGTTCACCCATGCCACATTGAGGCTGCAATAAAAGGTGCCTTCTCCATGTGCCTAGAAACTTAGGGAATAAAAGCAGCGGAGAAAGCAACTTACGGCTCTCCTGACTGTTCAGCCTACAACTCCCAGCTTCCAACTCCCAACTTTCATTAGAATGGAAAAAAGCATTTGCAAGATGTTTGAAATTGCATGTATGGGTTTCTAGAATGCATTACTCAAGTTCGAAAGCAGTAAAGGCCTGGATGGGCAACTTTTAGCCCACTATTTTAACAATGCTGGCTGTCCCAATCCAATACTCCAATCACAATGTGACTCAGGGCACCAACTCCTAGCCCGGTATTTCTCTGCAAGATAAACCATAAAGTAAAGTTGAACCAAAGTTTTGCATGATAGCATAGGTTAATCAAGCCCCTTTCCCACAAAGAGCAGCTCACACATGAGATTTCCTCCCACGGTCTTGCATGCCACAAATCAAAACTCAGACAGGAAAAGATCTGTGCCTGCAAACAATTATACCAAGGTGGAAGCAACCCAGGCAAGTGGAGGAAATGCTTTGAAGCCCCTACTCATTAGATTTAAAATGAGCTGTCCTGAGGATCCAAGAAAATGACAAGTGAATAGCCATCTGGCCGAGATGGACTATTGATGTCATGCCATCAGCCAGGCACAGGTTCACCTCCGACTGACCTTGCAATTAGGTTCTACTGGGAGCAGTTATGCACTTGAGCCCACGAATGTAGCAACACACACAAAACCCAGGAGTCTATCCACGTCTAGCGCAGACTAACAATGTGTTTTAGAACACATTGAAAATAAGCCTAGTAAAGTTTGCATCTCTCATCTTAACTACAACTTTTTAAAAAATGAAGTTTGGAAGTAAATACACAGCATGATAGGCAAAATGTTGTAGTATTATCCGTACCACCTGAAGGGATGAAACAGAAAATGAGATTCTGAAATGCATAGATAATTACTATTTGAGGACAAAATAAAAAAAGGAGAGATGAAAAATCAGACTCAAAATAATAAATCTAAGTAACTGAAAAGGTAAGCATGGGAA